TCGCTAAAGGAGGTGAACAACATTTTGTCATTTTCATAACCGACATGTACGACAGTTGATTCATTGGGCATTACTCTGTGTGAATATCGGGATGGGAGGCATGTAGTGCACTCCTATCCTCTACTCTTTTCTATTTTTGGAAACGTTCAGAAATATGTTCCCTCAATTTGCGAAGCATTTTGTCGATGAGAATAGCGACGCCTTGCTACGCACATTCATCGCGAATGTAGCTGTAGCAATCTCGCTCGGCGAGCGAAGAAGATTTGAACTATGTGCACCGTTTCACACATGCTGCGCAGTGATAATTTACTTAATACACACTTTTGGAAATACATATCGAACTTATTCAAAATTGGTGTACATGCGATTGCACAGCTGTTTGTTGTGATCATCACCTTGAGGCGTTCGCATAAGCAGATCGTTTATGATCTAATTTTCGATGTCCGCTGTATTCTCATTTTTAAACGCTTTTATTGTAAGATGTCGGTTATTGCAGAGTATAAGGAAATATTTTCTTCCGAAAATTGATCTAACTTTTGTTCCTCCATGTTGCATTCTGGTCTCCTGACCGACGTCTGCCATGTTTCAGCTCCCACATGGGAAGCTCACTGCCTGGAGTAAATGGTATATGCTCATCCAGACTGTCTAACTTGGCCAACCTCTTTTTCTTAATCTCTTCGTCTATTAAGATCACCTTTACTGGAAGACAGTATGTCATTCCTAACACGACCTTGCCAGTTATTCGTCGAAACCAGCGGTGCTATGCTCAAATCAACCGTCGTTCCTGCTCCTTCGTTTGAAAAACGATTTTCAGGCCATACAGCAACCCTGACCTGGCCTAGGTCAAACGTGCAGACGGGTTTTTGTGGAATGAGTTACTCCTTTCTCAGCCCAGATACTCAGCAGCAGGTAGAGATCACATGCAATATAGATCTTCATGTACATTCCAATGTTTCGACTAATTCATGGGGGAGGTTGATTTTAAATGGCACTGGAAGTTATGTTGTGATATTTTAAGTGTAATTTAGGCATTCTTTGAACATAGCATTACACATAATAGAAAAACATGTGAACATTATTTTCAAAGAAGCCCTCATAATATCCAGTAAAGATAACAAAGCATTCCTCTAAAAATGTACTGCGCCACTGATTTGTTGTTTATTACATATAAGGCTCTGTAACCGAGAACTAGGCTTTACGTTTCATTTGACGAACGTAGATTCCACTCGACTGAGGAATGGCCTGTGAATTGATTTAGCTGAACAAGGTATACGTCACCCTTCTATAACACCACCAGTCGACGCACGGGTACGGGATCAGTGACATTCGAGGGAAAATTTTTAACATTTTCTCGGTCGCGAAACATTCCTCAAGATACTGGTTGATTTCTGCTTGTTATGAGCTTATGCCCTTTGTGGTTAACGTGTGTTTGATACCGTAATTTGGTTGCAGAGTGGCGTTCATTACAATCAGGACTTCATATTTCAGCTGTGTTCATTCGCCTTACTTCTAGATCTGAATGCAAATCTAGAAAGAAGCACTAAAGAAGTAGGAGACCTTAAATCTCAGGTAGAGTCGCTGCGTTTGGCTTTGGAGGACCATCAAAATGTACGTTCTTGCGAATATGATTCAGCATCATTCGATGCAATAGCATGTTTTCAGAAAGCGTCAATTCGAATACATAATCTCCGCGAAACATGTTCAATACGAATGATGATGGACGAACGCCGGATTCGCATTTTGAACAAGCAACTGAGAGAGAAGGAAGATGTGATCGAACAAAGCCGCTGGGATCTAGCGTCATCACAGGCCGAAGTCAAGCAGCTACGGAACGAACTGTCTGTACTGAAAAAGAGCTTCTCTGAGAGAGATGGTTCTGCCATGTCGAAAGACGAATTTAAGTCGACGATATTGACCTTGCAGCATCGTCTAACTGAGGTGAATGAAGTCTTCACAAATTGTGGTCACAAAAATTCTTCATATCATTTTAGAGTAACCATCGTTGTTCAGTTCATCAGGATACGATTAGGCGTTTTGAAGCTGAAAACAGACATTTGAAGGAAAGGATGAATGAGATTCTTGAACAAAAGCTCCGTCGGTACGTTGATGCCAAGAAGCAAGAGAGCGCTTATGCTGAGGCGAAGGTGAGGAGCCTTTTTTCTTCCGCAGTGATTTGCGTTCAGCTTTGACATGCTGGACTTCCTGCCGGAAATGCTTCTGTTGCCCTGTAAATCTTCTGCATTGTGTCTAATCATTTGTTATTTCCGTAGACCTGTCATTCATGTCTTGTTGTGAACAAAGCAGTTTAAACGGCTTTCAGGTGTTCCGGTTCCTGATTTTCTATTCGTTTTCGCAAAATGCAAAAGCCAGGAGTTATGTATCAGAAGTGTTTCAGTTTCTCTCCAACGCCATCGCAAGTTACTTCCTCATCATCCTGACCACATGCTCAAATCATCGCAATTACGATTTCCCCACTTCGAAAATGTTATATTTACATGCGAGTGCCTGTCAAGATGCGGCATTCGTAGCCCTTTTTAGCGTCATCAGTAATCAGCTTTTCGAACGGAACTCCTTTTCGACACTCTTATTGAAGGTTATACTCCGTCAGTCAAATGTAGAGGTATTTATATTAAGAAAATTGACGGTGAGTTTTCGTTGCTTAACTTCTTTTCACAGCCTTCAGGTATAGCTGGCTCCGTATTATATTGGTTTATAGCGAGTTAACCTGTTCATTTGTGATTTAATACCTGTCTCCCTTATTTGCACGTCATTTTATGATATAGTACTGTACACTTGGCGTCGTTTGTCGGGAGCACAAAATCCTTAGGTTTGGTCAGGTTAAGCTGTCCGCAAGTACATGCCTGACATGGTCTAGACGATCTCTCTGCCTCAGAAATCTATACCTTCCTTGAACCTTCCTTGACCTTGATCATTATGGAGTTCTTTTTTCTGAACGCTTCAGGCTATCATGGTACTGGGTAGCGAGAATTTAAGCATTTTTATCTATTCATCCTGACGAATTACAATTTTCCGCACAAATTCAGGCGTAAGTGTAATCCCGTTTCGCCTCTTGTTGTTCATCGGAGTAATATGATAGGTTCGTTTTTTGTCCATTTCGTAACATCATCCGAATCTTTCATCCTTACTGTCCGTGAGTAGTCGTGCACCGTTCAGAGGGTGGAGAATGTGTCATTAAACACCTTGTTTCCATTGTTAATTTTATTTTTGCGAATGTAGCTACCTATCCATCTGTTTGGGTTCGAGATTTGAGGAGCATTTTAACAAATTTGCAATAAATTCATTAATGAATCTATATATCCCTGATTGCCACTTTCTCGTTCGCTGAGCGTTTCAGAATTCACAACAGGTCTCGTCGCGTAAATGAATGGCTCTCCGTCTCCGTAGTCTTCGCGACTTGAACGCCACAGTTATGCTTGTAGAGAAGTAGAAGAGTCGTACTGAGTTTTCACCACTTGCTCAAAAACGGTGGTTGCCATGATCTGAATCCTTACGACACATGCAATAACTGCGTGTTTTATTACAATTGGCGGTACAGAGGTAGTCCTGAGTGTGACTGCGACCATGCTGACCAGACAATCGGTCATATTGTTGTTGCCAGGCGATAAAACGTTTGCTAAGGGCTGCGCGGTTGAACTGCGCACCTTGTTCCTTCTCAGGCAGCTAATCAGTAAATTCGTTTTGTTTTTAATTAGTCATCCATCCTTAGGTCAGATACTCGTATCGAGGCACGGTCTGTTGCGTGTTGATGGACAACAGTCGAAAGTATTCAACGACGAATTCACAACTGCAGGCATGTGAGTTGTCTTGAGGATAGCCATTAAACTGTTGATGATATTGGCTTCAGAATTTTTTGCATTGCCAGATGGCTGCATGGACCAATACGGGGAGTTTATCATTTAGATAAATTGGACTGACTTTACGCAGTGCGTCAGTTTCTCGATGAGCTTCTCGTAGTCGTCGTCGCAGCAGCCTTTCGGGCTTTATTCATGCTATAATGCACGCTTTTAACAGCCTCTTCGATTATCTTCAGTCGTTGTCTGTGATTTGTCATCTGCGGTGCCTTTTTCTCAATCTTCTCGAAGGTTAACCTGTCGCGCACCAGTCTCTGGTCACTGTCGAAATTTATGCTGGCATTGCTGATATGTCTCGGATGATGCAGCGTTTATGGAACAGGACGAAGTCGATCTCGTTCTTTATCGCTGCGTTTGGCACGATCCGTGTCTATCTCCTGTTCGTTTTCTTACTGAATCAGGTAATGCCAGTGCACAGATGTTTCATTTCTGCCACGGTTACCAGCCGATCTTCTCGCTCATTTCGCTCTCCAGTGTTTTACCTACTTACGAATGTTTCACCGACCTTTGCATTAAAGTCTGTCATGATGAGGATATACGAGGAGTTTGTGAACATTGCCAGATCCAGTTCTTGACGGAATTCTCCCTTTTTCTCCTCGTCAGCTGCAGTTGTGAGATCATGGGTTTGAATGACCTTTGAGTTCCTTTTATTGTTTATTTATGGTCATAGCACGCCCAGTCTTGGTGATTTCACATGACAGGAGACGATTTTGCAGGACCAACTTTTGCTGACTATAAATCGAATTTCTCCTATGTTCTTCGCACCTTCTCTTCCTAGACAAATCGAATTATCGTCTTTCTACATGCCATGCAAGAAGTGCTATTATTAAATAAGAACACTGCCAAACGTCTTCTTCAGTCCCATGCTCAGTTGAGAAATACGGATTCATCTCAGGCAGACAGCCGCCCATACAAAATTTTCAGAATGCATTCATGTCTGTCATCTCCTTTCCAGTTAAAGTTGCCAGAACCAGTTTTAGCAGCCGTCTTCGATGTTCCTAGTTCTCCGGTAATCAAGCAAGCTCTCTGGCACTCGACCTTTCCGTTGGCCTTCATCGTGTAGCTTGATGACTAGAGTGCCAATGATTAGTTTTAAAATACCAGTCTTGATACTGCCCAACTTTTCAGGAAGCCTGGATCACAAGGGAATCTGCCTTAATTACGCAGTTAGGAAAAGAAAGACAAATCGTTGCATCAATGATGGCGAAGAACGACAGTGTGTGTAGCGATATACAAGAGGTGAGATTTCTGTGCTTTCTCTAACACTAAATGATGCTGTTTTTTCGTAGACTTTGCATCAGTTGAATTCTTTTCAAAAATTTGGAGAAGGCGCTGGAAAAGTCAACAAAACCTACGCAAAAACGTTTAATTCCTTGCACGAGAAGACCAAAACTGTTCTTACGAAAGTGCCCGCCATTCGCCGCTTTCTTTTTTTCGGTTTCTATCTTATATTGTTTGCAGATAATGCAAACCTTGCAAGAGAACCATACCAAAATGCTGAGTGATAATGCTGCTCAGCAGATCGACACCGCATCGACACTGGATAGAAAGATCACCAGTCTAAAGTCTGAAACCTGTATGCTCAAAAGAGAACTGGAAGTCATAAAGTACCATATCGAACCCCTTATCAAGGTGACATTTAACGATTTTTTAGCAAATTGAATGAATTTATTTTACTGCTTGAAAATATGGAATATGGCTATATCGTTAAACATAACAGAATAAGAGTAAAACTACCAAAACGCATAAGTACACTTTATGCCATAGGCGCAATTATTGACTGTTTACACCAACTCTCTACGCGACGATGGGTTTTTCAGGATACGAGTGAGGGAAAGTAGAACCGAATTTCGTCTCATTTCCGTCCGATGTTAGATGTTCAATACTTTTAATCTTGTGATTGGATGTAGAGATATAGGCAGAGCCGGATTAAACGGATGGTTGCTGTTGGAGAGAATAGCGGTGTCCAAGCATAGGCAAGCTTTTCGGTGCGTTGTACAAATTCTTTGACAGAGCTTCAAAATTGAAGCAGCAATTAAGTGGTACCACTTTGAGGGTCTGACGTAAAACACAAAGAAACCACAGAAATGTAGAAGAATGTACAAATATGCTAGACTTTCTCACTCTGCATTGGGAGCCCGCTGGATATACCGGAGGGAGCCCTCTCGGATTGAGTGATACGGTGAAGCCTGATACTTGTCGGTGAACCTTACTACGTCGAAAAGCTCATCACACGCATCTTTCTTGATCTAAATGGTTGAAGGATGTGGAGCAAAAGGTTATAGTTTACGAAGGTTGGAACTGTGAATGAACTGACTACGAAGATCGCATAACATGCGTTACGCATGGAAGAATATCAGGATCATAAGGGTCGGCTACGGCATCAGCTTGCCAAAAACTGGGATTACTGACCCACTGTCGTAATGATCTAATCGTCGTGATGATTAGGACGCGACTGGCAAGCGGCATAAGGATGTCATCAAGATTTTCATGGCTAATCACGCTCTGTTGTCATATGCGCTCGTAGACATCTACATCACCGGGGCGAAGAAGATCTAAGCAGATGTTCTCAGCGCGCGTGAAACCCGAAGATCCGCAGAATGTATCGCACAGTGGAAAAGCGGGAGCTATAATATGGAACGAACGATAACCGAATTGATTACTTGCGGACGGACACAAGGCAGGAAATAACAAATGTATCTGTCATTAGAAAATACGCCATCCCGGCGATAAGCCACAGGCCATCCCGCCCCACAGTCACAATCGATATCACGAAGGAAGATCAGGTTTAAAGGCTGTAAGGCCACCGGCCTTTCCACATATGTTCAACCCTGAGGCTTTTTCAGATAAGCTTCCTCAGCTGAATCTCGCATTAGACAGTGAAGGCATCGATGAATACTACCAGCAGGGTACAGATAAGATCAAAACTGTTGTCTGGTCTTCCATTCGGGCAGCAACTTCGGTGAGGAAACAACGCACCAGCCGTGAAATGAGGCAGCTGTTGCCCAAACGAGCCAGAACCAAGGCTGATGGGTGACTGAACGACGAGTACACTGCGTTGTGCAGAGAAATACTGCCGTAGATTCGGATTTCGAGAAAGGTGGCGAATTCTGACTTGCGTCTGTGGCGCGGCGGCTGACGAAAACAGGTCCCATAGCGAATGGATATAAGACTTTATACACCGTTTCTTGAAAGTTTTCTTATATATTCTGCTCTGTAAGTGTGGACTAGCTTTTCACAATGTTAACCGATATAGTTATAGTTTCGTATAATTGACGCAACAACCTAATTGTCGACTGTAATTGTTTTTCTCATCCCATTGCATCAAAGACGACGCCCGATGCCAAACAAGCAGTCCATCTGGATCTAATAAATCTGAGGCCCTTAAGTCCTTTCGATGCCCTGTCAGTTCTAACAAGATCTTCCAATCCAAGCCGATTGCCGTCAGGCTTTAACGTCCAGTATTCCCTTCGCAACGCGGCTATTACTCAATCACTGGCAGTTGCCGCAGCATCTTAAGCTGTTGGTTTGCAGCCAGTTCATCAATTTAGTTGTGATATTCTAGTCTTTCTCTTAGAGCAGCATTTTGTTTCAGGTCGTATCATTTCACTCATAATATTGATCTGAGGAACCTCAATACTCCAGGTCGTAGAAAGGATACTCAGAATGCGGCCCCTGCTTATCCGCCGCTTTTTGCTGTCACAAAAGATCCCTGTCCTTGCAGAGCTTGAATAGCTTCGGGCTTGCTCCAGATGCCAACGCAACAGTGCCTCTTGACATAGTTTTTCGTTTTTCTGTCCGCGTGCAATATACTCGCTAGGATACAGATGTTTTTGTACCTTTTTCACAATTTCACAAATATATTTGTCTGAGTTTTACCACTTTCGATCCACTACGTCTTTAAGTAAGTCGAGAGATTCAGATCAGAACACTTCAGTTTCAGAGCTAGGAACGGTGATGTCGCTGGTTGTAAGCAATCAGTACGATATCTATCCACACATACAACAGAGTTTACGCAGTTATTGTCCACTCTTGCCACAATCAGCTTCAGTCTTTCGTGTTAGCAGTAACACTCAATCATGAGGCATCGCAGAGGTGGAGATTCCGATCCTCGTTGCCTTTCTCCGCATTTTGTTCGAAAAGATTTGCCGAACATTTCATAAATTCACACCGCACCTGACGAAAGATTATACTGCTTTTCAATTGTTCGAATAATCTTTGGTGGGATCCCGTATTGTCCACCAACTTTCCGCTCGAAATATTTGCAGATTAAGTCAACGTTGAACCGGACATGATGCAAGCAGAACTGACCATCGCTGAGCGAAAGAGTTTTTAGCCTTGGTTGAATGAGGCAGCCCCCGCAGCCCGGTTGAATGAGGCAGCCCCCAGGCAAACCTCTCACTTCATATCGTTGGCACAACGTGTAAGAATTGCAGCATTCGGTATTTTGTGGCAAAGTGTTTGAGAGGACCGATGAGAGATCGATAGAATGATGATGAGGGCTGGATCTGAACGTAGAATAATTGTAGACAGTTATAGGCTGAGTATCTCTGCCTTAATACATATCTAGCTTACATCGTGCTAAATCCGTAGCTTTTAGTACAGTGTAATGAATGTGTTGTATGAGATTGTACACTATTCTTACTACATAGCTGCTATCAACTCTGTCTTTGAAAGTACTTCTGCCGAAAGGTGTGGAAATGATGATCAGCGCCGTACCGTTAAATTAATGAAAAGAACGGTGTCAGAAATATCCTCATCATGAAAATATAACGAAAACCGACACACCTACTGTTATAAAGTTTCCGTTTTCCTTCCTTTCTCCAGTAAGTCAGTGTTTTTGGCCTACGTGTGCCTCGGAGAACCGTTAGGGCACTCATCTGCTCACAGTTAGCGATTTGACTGATCACGTCAGAGAAACATCTCGTCCATGCTGTGTGCTAATGACTTTCCGCGCCCTTTTACAAATGAGAACCACACTCTCAAAGGTATATTATTATTTCGTATTCAGAACAGTATTTTTATTCTGAGTTTTGAACACAGATGCTAAATACTATTCATATTCCTTCATCGTCTTTCAGACGGACTTTCAAGAAATAACATTGTCAAACTGCCATCACAACCAGTACCATCTGTTTCATTTCGAAAACTTTTCTTTCAATGTTTGTTTTATTTGTGCTACGTTTTCATGTAACAATTCATTTTATGTCGCTTGTTTCGAATAGAGTGCCGGGAAACTTAAAGCTGAAAAGGAAACTTTACTAGCAAAGTTAGAAAACATGGAACTTTTGGAAGAGCAGTACAGGCGGCTTTCATCCGAAAACTTGAATCTCAAAAACCGTCTTTGCACCGAGAGACAAAAGGTGCGTGCACGCGTTCGTTTTTTCTTTTGGATGATCGGTCTTCATCCAAGTATTGTCTTTTAGGTCACGGACCTTGAAGAAAAAGTAGTCGTCCTGACTCGCAAATGCGATAGCATGGCTTTATCGATCGCCCATTCTGAAGAACCTGCGGCAGGCGTGGAATCAATCGTAACCTTACCGTGTAACGAAAAAGAAAACGGAAAAAGGCGGTTAGTGTTTACATGTGTCTATTTACTCTTTCTTAATTTGTGGGTTACACATATGCCCGATTTCCGATTGTCTTTAGACAGGTATTCCGATGACAAACAAGTGCAAGTGGAAGAACAAGAAAAATAACTAAACAGGCAGATGAGAAAAGGAAGAGAATTCGTTTTTTCAGGTTTGCTTCATCAGTTCAGCAAACTTGGACATATGTACATAAACCGACTAAATGTGTGCGAGGAATAGATCAGGAAATGGCGTGATTTAAAAGGCCATGGAAGAACGGATAGTTGAGAATCAGCAAGGAGAAAAGATTTATCAGCCATGTGAGGCATGAAGGTTTTCTTTCTGACAAATGTACCGCTCGGTTAAACATGGAATGATAAAGGCAGCTGAGATTTACTGACAATTTCCGTTCTACATCGCACATACCTGAAAATTTGCTACTTTACATGCTGTACGTTTAGATACTTTACTGGACACTGTTAGATATCAAAAACAAATTCGGACAGAGTGATGTTTTAATCGCGTTGCTCTTCAATGTACGAACGTATGTTATTTCACAGTTTCTTCGTTCACTAGTTTCCGTATTAAAAGCCGTTAGAAATCACTCACCTCTCGCATACTCTTTTTTCTCTCAGGTCTCTGTTCCTTTCAGTTTGCTAGCAGCCTTTTACGGAGAGGTTTTACCAATGGCTCCGCTCCCTGGCCATCTCGAAAGGACCGGATTCTTGATTTTATGACTCGAAAATCTTACGTATGCAATGTTCCTGTGCCATTTGACCTTCGGTTTTCACATTTAAATACATCCATCCATCGATTTTCAGAACCTGCATTTCTATTCAGATCGCGGGGGGGAGCAGCGGGCTCTGGCGTTGACGTTGACGTTGTTGTCGATCTTGAGCCATGAAATCGACCTCAGGTGGTAAGTTTGAAGTCTGGCTCAGAGATTCTTGGTTTGCTTGTAGCAAGTCTTTCTAGGTTGTCCTCGAGGTCTGTCGGTCGGTCGAACAGTTATCAGTTTTAGGATTAGTTATCTTTCACTCCTTTTTGGTGGGATTTGGGCAGCATGGCCGAATCATCTCAGTTGCGATTTTTCAATCTTGTGAAGGAACGGCTCGATCTTCATGGCTTATGTATTCACGGGTTTTCAGATTCTGTCCAAGCGCGTTACTCCAGTGATTCTTCTGAGAAATCCTATTTCGACACCTTATGCTTGCGATCTTATTTTTAAAGGCTTCATGACCATAGGTGAGAGTTTGAATAAAAGCCGATTTTAACAGGCGCGCTTTGTTTTAAGAAATCCTCTCCACCTATCTTACGACGGTTAGTTCACGAATCACTTTACTTGCCATAATGATTCGTCGCTCGATCTCTTCTTTTCATCTTTCATCACTCGTAAATGTGATCTCGAGGCATTTAAATTGTTCTTGCTGCCTCAGTATGGCCTCACTAATATGCATGCGTATTGAGCAGGGGATGAAGGCACCACAGCTGCTTCCAGTTTGACTGTTTTTATCCGCATCGGTCATTTTGCATTCGTTTAGAAAACTATTGGGTGCACTCTTGAGATCCTTTTCAGATGATGCGATCAGGATGAGGTCACAGATTTCTGACTTCGTCTTCACTAATTCTGATGAATTCTTCGTCTTAACGGCTTCTGATTATCCTGTCCACAAAGGTAAAACAAGAATGGTGATGAACCGAACTCTTGACGGAGGGCTGAGCTGAAGGATAGAGAACAAGCATGGAGTGTGCACTCCTGACTGCAGAACGGACAGGTAGCTGATAAACGATCATGCATCGTGTGGCATCATAGCTGATTATTTCATGAAAACCACTCGTAAACCATTGCTAAATGCTACGAATCACGTATGCGTTGCACAGAAATCTTAAATGTAGCTGACAAATTTTAGAAATCCGGAACTTCGTCCCCCAATCTTTCACGAACCGATTGCGAATACAGATCAAGGAAAATCGACTTCAGCGACACCTCGTTCATCAATGGGACATGAAGATCGCTTCCTGGGTAAAAATGCATTCATCAGCAACTATCAGTTAATGTTTCGTTTATTCTCAGTCGGCCAAACAATGGTGGATTCCAGTTTGGATGACAGTAACAATAACGATGTTACGTGCACCACGAATAAAATGCTGCAATGGGATAGTAGTGCCGAGCCTGACAGCATCGACCATAAAAATAGCTTCAAGGACCACAGCTCTGTATCGCGTACGAGTTTTTTGCGTCTTTTGACTGTTGTTGGGTTTGCATTTATTAACTGTTTAAGCTCGCGATTTCCTGTTCAAGATTTTATGCAACTACTTTTGCCCAGGAGCGCGAAGGATAAAATTTCAGCTGATCTAAGGATAAAGATAAAGTAGATAATTGACTTACACATTCGTAAAACAGCACAAGTCTGTGC